TGCTGCGAACCAGCACTGGAGTCGAACGTTGGAGCCCCTGCTGGCGCCGGGTAGTAGGCGGGGGGTCCAGCGTTTGTCAAACGCTGGACCCCCGTCCAGCGGTCGGTGCCAGCTGGGGGTCCAGCGTTTGTCAAACGCTGGACATCCTGCCGGCGCCAGGCGCTGTGCGGGGGGTCCAGCGTTCGACAAACGTTGGACCTCGCCCCTACTGCCGGGCGCTCTGCGGGGGGTCTAGCGTTTGTCAAACGCTGGACCCCTAGCTGGCACCGGGCGCTCGGCGGGGGTTCATCGTTTGACAAACGCTGGACCCCCTGACTACTGCCCAGCGGTAGCTGGGGATCCATCGTTTGTCTTACGCTGGACCCCACGCCGAGCGTGCGGCGTTTGGTGGGGGGGTCCAGCGTTTGTCAAACGCCGGACCCCCAGCTGGCGCCGGGCAGTAGGAAGGGGGTCCAGCGTTTGTCAAACGCTGGACCCCCACCGAGCGCCTCGTGCCAGCTAGGGGTCCTGTGTTTGACAAACGCTGGACCCCCTGCCTACTGCCCGGCGCCAACTGGGGGGGGGTCGACAGGGGGGGGATCAATCGCTGGAACCCATGATGGCATCGGGCGATAAACGGGGGTCCAGCATTTGTCAAACGATGGACCATCTCCTCGTAATGGGCGCTATGCGACGGGGTTCAGCGTTCCTCAAACGCTGGACACTCGTCTACCACCGGCCGTTCGCGCGGGGGTGCAACGTTTGTCAAACGCTGGACCCCCAACTACTACCCCGCCCCACGTGGGGGACCAGCGTTTGACAAACATTGGACCCCCAGCTCGCACCGGACGTTTGGCGGGGGGTCCAGAGTTTGTCAAACGCTGGACCCCAAGATGGCACAGGGCGGTAGACGGGGTCCTGCGTTTGACAAACGCCGGACGCTATCGTGGTAACGGGCGCTAGGCAGCGGGGGGGGGGGTCCGCTCAAGAAACGCTTCGGTATCCAGGGTGAGAACAAAAGCGAATGATAGACTCTCACTCTCTCGTGGCCAAATGTTGTGGCTATCTCACTTTGCCAGGTTCCCCGTGACGGTCGGTAATACCACCATGAGTGTCGAACCATCCATTCGATTGCTTCATACACCGAATGCAGCTAAAGTTGCTATTTCCGCTGAAAGTCGATCACCTTCAGGCTTTGCTACACCATCCAAACGCCGGGGTCGGGTGGGATCCATCGATAGGTCGCCTGAACGGTGTGTTGTTCGTCGCCGACAGACGGTCATGGGCAAGAACGTCGTTAGACGTCTCCGTCTCAAAGATATCATCAATGGAGGCACACAAGTCGCTTCCGTCGGTGTGTCCACAGCTTCGGGGGCCTTGGGTTTCGTGCACCCGCTACCTGTGAGCGACGAGGATGATGACCCGTACGATTTTCTGCTTTCCCAAACAACCATCGCCGAGTTCGAACGGAAACAACTGCTGAGAGAGCAACTCCAACGAGAGCAAGTTTCGACAGATCGTCGTTCAGAAGTCGATGATGCCACGGTGGGGGGAGTCGCTGTTCCTCCTCAGCCTTCGTTGTTCGGTAGACAAGGGAAAAGAAGGTACACATACCACATGCGCAAAAGAGCATCGAACAGGTCGGATGCCACATACGAACGTAGATGCAGCCTTGAAGAGTGCGAGGCCATTCTGAAGAAGACATGTTGCAAGTCTTACGGATGTCTCTCTAAAATGAAAGCAGTGGAGGTCCAAAAGTGTAGACGCGAGTTCAGGTCGGTTAGAGGCAAGGACAGACGCAAGTGGTGGATATCCAAGCTTCGTAGTTTCACATCGCTGGTCCAAAGGAAGCCGGAGGTGAAACCTATTGTAGAAATGCATCCGGTGTGTATCATCGCGTGGTGTTTGATGCTCGGTTGTGGTCGAAACACATACCAAAGACATAACGATGACCTCGACGAAGGAGTGGTCGACGTAGGTCATGCTAACGAGGGCCGTCCTCGGACAACAACGCAATATACGTTAACATGGTCAGCATTCGAGGATATTAACCTTGACGAGTCCGATCCCATGCCGGATCAGACGGAGACAGGCCCGGATTTTGAGATTAGGAA